TTAACATTGATAGGAGCCGCAGCGATCAACCGACATTTTTTTCGATATTTTTTTTTTTTTTTTTTTTTTTTTTTTTTTTTTTTTGTTTTTTTTTTGGATTTTTTTTTTTTTTTTTTTTTTTTTTTTTTTTTTTTTTTTTTTTTTTTGTACTGAATGAATCAGAGAAAATTTCCAAGTTTTATTATATAATCATTTGTCTGATCAACTAGTCCAAAAATGTTACATTTTTATTTATTTATTCTAACCCCATACCAGTAATGTTTACTCCAAGGAATTTCTTCCTTGCCGAATTTGTAATAAAAAATTGTTTTTCGAAATATTATTTTTTACCACCTTGTCATTAATTTTTCTTTTATAAATGCGTATTGTTTTCTTGACAGAAAACTTTACGAAAAGATAAATGTCATTCATTCATTTTATTTGAAATCAAAAAGTAAAATATTTGAGATATAATAAATAAATGCAAATTGTTTAATGTATGAGCCTTTTTTCATTCCTTTTTGTTTTTAAAAAAAAATTAAATAAATAAAGTTTTATACCTAGATTTATTAAGAAATCTTTGGCATACAGTCAACTCTCTCTAAATGCACCCCTTTGGAACCATAGTGAAAATTTTAAAATAGTGAATTTAAAGAGGATGTGCATTTAAAGAGAAAATTTTCTATATGATTTCTATATGCTTGGGACAGAACGAGAGCGTGCATTTAGAGAGAAATATATAGTGTGTGCATTTAGAGTTGACCGTACATATATATATTAAATCAATTTAATATATTCATTTTCACTAAAATGTTTTCATTTAAAATGTACAATTTAAGGATAAGGTATATTAATATTGATTACCTATGTAAAAACGTTTATGTGATTAATGTAATTTTAATTAATGATTAATGCACAAAAAAAAAAAAACCTAATCATATAATCATATATAACTTTTGATCCTTAAAAAAAAAAATCATTTCGGAAATTAATTTCAATAACTCGGAAAATCATATCTTCCTATCTTTAGAATCTAACTAAAATTTACCCCTTCTAACCATGAGACAAAAAAGCCCCTTTGTCTCTCAGAGCGAATTTCCTAATAACGGAAGTTTCACACTATGAGAAGAGTTCTTTGCCGACAAATTTCAAAAGCAACACTGCATTCTATATTTTTTTTTTTTTAAAAAAAAAAAAAAAGAAAAACAGAAAAATATTCTGGGTGATATTATGCTTCTCAACCGGGTTTAATTGGAATGAACTTGATAAAAAAAAAAAAATTCCTCCCTTTAACTTTTTAAATAAACATTTTTTTATTCTTTTCTTGAATTTACGCGTAATTAGAACAAGAAATAATGATCCAGTAATTTTATATTCTAAAGGAAAACAACATTCCTTTTCATTTAGAAAGATAAAACACATCATTTTATTTCACTACGTGTCAAGATTTTGACGAATACTTAATGAATGTTTTCTTTTGTTTTATTAATAATTATTTATCATTATTACGAATTCTATATTTTCTTTTTTTCATGAAGGGATTTACATATTTTGCACATGAATGCTTTTGCTTTATGAAACTACACTAACATGTATATGTAATTGTGTTTAACCAATGAATTCCCTTCAAGAGATAAGAATTTCCTTATAAAATCGATGAGATGTTTCTTATTTGTAAAATTGTGCTAATTTTTCTTTCCTGGTGCTTTACTCATTGTGCCAAGTAATAAATCTTTATTTTTCTCTTGTGTGCAATCATTCAATGTGCCCAGAATAACTTTACTTTAATTGCTAATTAAAAAAGTTTTGTCTGACCTTCTCTTTTCCTATTGTTCAGTACGAATTGTTACTTTTTCAATAACAACTTGTGAAACGTCCGTATCGCGGATATTTACTTTGCGAATTGTATATATCACCATTGATGTTAAACAAGTTGCATGATTCTCCCCTATTGAGAGTATGAATAAAGAAACTAGTTAAAAATACTTAAAGATAGAATATGAGGAATCAAATTTGCAAAGAACCAGAATGAAAACATTTAGTATATGCTTTAGAAAAATAATCGAGTCGAGATAACACGTGATATTTTATATATTTTTATGTTTTATAAAAATATACATCTTCAAACAAGAGTCAAAAGAACATAATTACAAGCAAATTTCCATTACAATATCGAACTATCCATAAACTTTTTGTTATTCGCCTAAAAGATTTTTTCTCCATCGGCGTGACATTAAAAATAATGAATCACGAATTTATTGAAATTACAAAATTCACGACAAAAATTTAAAACTTTAATTTTTGAATAATATAAAATCTTTTTATTTCTAGGATTTTTTTTTTTTTTTTTTTTTTAAAAAATATTTATAGTTATTATTCTCGAATATAAAAGAAAGAAAAAAAAAAAAAAAAATTTAAATTGTTTAGATATAATAAGAGAATAATGAGTGAACAAGTTGAACTAAACCAATCAATCAATAACATCAACTGGTCAAAACTTTTAGAAATATAATTACGCATTCCCATACACCTTTTTATTTTTTTTACCCACCAAATTTTCGCAAATCAAATGTTCGTGGATGATGATATATGTTCAATAAATTTAAGAAAGGGTCCATGTAAAAAGGTAGAAACCCCAAATCATAAACGAATAAAAAAAAGGACATAAACAAGATTAATACATAATTTTTTTTTTTTTAAAAAAAAAAAAAAAAATAAAAAAAAAAAAAAATAAAAAATAAAAATAAAAAACAAAAAAAAAAAAATTTTGATCTGATCTATCAGCATAAATCAACTAGTCGCTTCTTGTTTGGTCGGTTCAATCTCATCATGGGATTTTAATCTTTTTTCTTTCTGTGCTTCGTGTCGTAACTTTGCCTTTAATTCTTCAACTTCTTTATGTAAACGTGCGTTTTCTTCAAGTTTCAAAGCATTTATGTTTAACTTCGTATTAAAATCCTCAACTTCTTTAAGAAGTCGAAGATTTTCCTCTTCTAAACGTGTGACTTTTTCTTCGAGATCAGCCACATAAGCTTTTTTCTTACGACGGCATTCTTTGGCAGCGACTCGATTACGCAAAAGTCTACGCTGTCGACGTTCGTCATTGGTAAGGTTGCGAGTGCTAACTGCACGCTTATTACCGGAATTGTCTTGAGATGCTTCGTGTATAGCGGAGCTATCCATCAATTCTCCCATGTCAGAATGAAGCATGGGAGAAATGTCATTAATTGTGGTTGGTTGTTGGTTCGAGATTAAAGGTGCAACTGCAATAGGAGAATTCGTTGAATTTATAGAATATGTAGCATTCAATACATTATCAAACGGTGGATTTGTAGACTCTGTGGACTGACCTACTACGTTCTGGGCTACAGAAGGAGGTACACTTGATAAAATAGCCGCGGCATTTGCTGCAAGCATAGTAGGATCGCTCTTTATATTAGCGCCTTCGATTGCTTTTTCTGATTTTTTGGAGCCTTGAGTAGCTTTGCGTTTTGCGTCACCTTGACCTGCTACATCAGTAGGGGCTGTTCTTTTAAGTGATCTAGCAGTGTCTTCATTTTTATTTTGTTTCTGTTCTGTTTTCATTTTATTTGTGACTGTTGTCAACTTGGTTTCGTTAGTTTGACTTTGTTGTACTTCTTGAGGCATATTACGCAGGAAGAACTCCAAACCCTGTGTATTAACGTCAGATGAGCTTATGTTTGACGTATAAAGGTAAAATAGCGTTTTTCGTTACAAAAATTCTCTCGTTGAAAATGAAGTATTAGTACTTGTAAAAATTCTTTTTGACAATAAATATTAATGATAGAAATCGCGTGTCGTCGTTATTTATTTTCAATGTTGGACGACGTCGGTTTTTTTTTTTTTTTTTTGGACGACGTCGCTCTTTAAAGGTGACGGCAGCAAAAAAAGGGAGATGACGATGTTTAGATAACTTGCTATTATGTATATATGATATAAATTTTGTATGTTGTGTGAGGGAATTTATTGGGAACTGCGGGAGGGCTGAGTTGGTGATACAAACCAATCATGGTTCTTTTCTTAATTTTCAACTGACAAAATATTTGATAACATCCTGATATCATTATGCGTCATCCAATATGATTCGAGCTTTAATGGTTGAATAATATCGAAGAAAAATCAAAATTCTCAACTTGGGAATGAGGCGATCCAAACAAATATCATGTTTGAAGATAAAAAAAATTTTTATACTCTCTTTTATTCAAACTCTATATTGTTTATTATAAATTTTTTAATATTACCAAAAAAGAAAAATGTTTTTTAAATATTATTTTGATGACATGCTACATATGTTAAATAATAAATTTTCGTTCATTTTTCTTTCATTCTCTGTTAATTTCTTTACTTAAAATTGCTCATAGGGATTGATTTTATCTATTTTGAAAACTGATATCAAAACATTCAAAAGAAAATTAATTTATAGAATATAATTTTATAAATATAACGAATTTTTAAGCAGTTAATGATTATGTAGTATGACAAATATCATTTTAATCACAAATTACAATGGTATATTCTACTCTGAAGAATGTAATCCTATTTATAAACCTTCTTTAGGATAAACATTATAATTATATTACATTTATTTTTAAATATTATGAGTTATAAAAGAATTATTTTTATATAAAAAACATAATGAAGATAAATTACAAATTATTAAAATTATTTATATCAATCAAAAATATTATGATAAAAATATTAGAAATAATTGCATATTGTTTTTTATTTTAAAAATAATAAAAATAAAAAAGTATTTAAAAATATAGTATTTTTAAAAAAAAGTATTCAGTTTAAATATTTTTAAATTATTCAAGATCAGATATATTAATTAACTAAAAATTTTTTTAAATAAATCCTCTGATTTTATGATATAATGATAATATATATATTTATATTTATATAAAATATATAAAATAAGTTTAATAAATAAAAATAAAAAAATATTTCTAATTTTATATTATTTTAAAAGTTTAATTATTTAACATAAAAAATTCATAAATTAAACATGAAAAATAATCAGTTTATAGATAGCTAAAAAAACTTATAAAGCTATATATTTATATTTTAAAGTTCAAAAGGTATTATTATAGATTCAAGATAATTCTTATAATTACTTTTAAATTTTAATTGAGTTGTAATTTAACTATATAAAAAGTAGATTTAATTGTATTACAAGTTACAACTTAATTATACTATTTTGTTTAATTGTAGTGATTATCTTTATTATAGATACAACCATTTAACATAATAATTTTAATAATATAAAGAACTGCTAAAATTCTCTAAATATCAATTTTTAGATGTAATTCAATATTAACAATATCATATGACTGCATAATACTATAGTCATATGATATTTTAAACCTTGTTTATATAAATAATTACTATTAACATGATAATTAAAGAAGCATTACAATTAAAAATTAATACAATTGAATTACAACTTATAATATAATTAAATTTTCTCATAGTATAATTAAGTTATAATTTAATTGAAATTTAAAAATAATTATAGTGACTATCTTTAATAATGATAATTATTAAATTATTATTATTACTTTTAGTTATAGAATATCAACAGCATTTGAGTTTTAAAAAAATTAATAAAACTAAATCAACTATTTTAAAGCTTTTGTCTAGTTGTCTACTTTTCACAATAAAGCTAATTTAAGTAATTTATAACTAATAATAATAAAAAAAATTATTATTTATGTACTTCAAAAATTCAACAACTCTGAAATAAAAAACTGGTCAAGATATTTCAAATTAAACTATTAACTAGAAATTATATCTATTAGATTAAATTATTGTATTACTTAATATAAGCTTTTAATATTATTAGTAAATATAAAGGCATATCTTATATAATGTTTAAAATATTAAAGCTAGATAAAGAATGATTGGTCAAACGTCTTGTGAAGTAATAAATCAATTTTTTTCAATTCTAATAAATCTAATGTATTAGAGTATAATAGATACTACAAAATAAGTATATCTTTTCTGTATTTCTACTATAATTAAGTATAACCTAAGCTGAATGTTTTAAAATACTTTTCAAAATAAAGGTAAAACATATTATTTCATTAACTGAAACTGCAATCAGTATTTTATATATCATTATTCTTCAAAAGTAAAATTCTAAAAATCTCTTATATAACTTAAATTAAAGTTTACATTAAAGATAACGTTGCAATATTGTAATACTTATTTGTCACTTATTGCAACTAATTGAGACACTATCTTTAGTTTACATAGAATTTATATGTAAATTCTGATAAAAATTGTGTATTATCCCTTAAACTATAGAGCAAATAAATTTG